TCCAGATAACCCACTGTACCCTGTCTGAAAGGAAGTAACGCTAGAGTAGACTCGCGAAAAGTGTATAAGACACTTTTAAGATCAACTAAATAGCTAAGCCCAAGGGAAGTCGTTCGGGGAGGCCCTCCCTAATTCCACAAGGGTGAGAAGAAACACACACGATAACGAAACGTTGAATCATGTAGAACTCGTAGGGTAAATGCAAAGCAATTTATAGTAAGAATATGCAGTAAGCTAAGCGAAGAGGTAAGCAAGAGACATATTAGACTATACTACAACTACTCAACGGATTAGTAAGTATTACTACTACACTACTACTATTTTAAAAAAATAAAAACATCTACAATCAAAAATTAATTCAAATAAAATGAAGCATGCAAAATAAAAACTAATTCAAATTAACTACATAAAACATGCAAAATAAAAAATTAATTTGAATAAAATCAACTTAATGAATTCTACTAGATAGACCATGCAAGACAAAAGAACTATTTCAACTATGGGGTCATCTTTGTCTTCTCCGACGTCGATCTGAAACAGATACGGTGGTAACAGATTAATAATGAGTAATTAAAGTTAATTATATCAAGTATTCTCACCTTAATTAACTGTAGACTGTAATATTCCAAAGTTTGCATGTGTGAAAAGCAAAACAAATCCAGAAGTGGAATTCCAATAAATCTCCAGTTGTTCTCACTACTCAGTTGAAAATTAACCGCATAATGTTGCAAGGCGAAGACAAAATCAGCAAATCAAGAATATAGTCCATGAAAGACCACACCCCAGTAGACATTAGTTGTTTCAGTAGGACCAAACTGCATTGTAATTCTCTCGTTTGTTAGGCAATCTGCAGAAATTAACAAAAAACATATTAATTACACTATTAATTGAGGAAGGCACTAACACAACTAAAAATATGTAGCAAAAAGAAAGTAAAGTATCTGAATTATAAAACTGTCAATTTACATAAATGACAATCATAGATGAATGACATCAATTTAAGGTGTGGACTATAGATATTTGTTAAGGGCAAAACCACAGATGCACAACATCTTCCGGAACAATAGATAATTGTTAAAATGCCATAGATTCACTTTAATCTCAATTCATGCTGTTGGAAAAAATTATTAAGAAATGCAATAAATTAAGAGCAATTAATATTATGTCACGCATTCTCACCTTAATCAACTGTAGCCAAATCCACGAGGGCTACCACGGCAGACAAATCCGTTGATTCAGTGGTTTCCAAATTTCCAATTGCTTCCCTCTCACAAGCTCGAAATTAACTGAATTGTATGAAGACATCAACAGCACTGCTGGTTTCAGTAGCACCAAAATTAATTGGAACTCCATCTCATTTGTTGGGAAATCTATAGAGACGGACAAGAAAATGTAATTAATTACCACTTTTAAAATGAGTTAACAATTATATTTTAATGTGCTGATGTGGCAGTACAGTTAGGAAACTAACTTTAACACTGAAGGGAAGGTAAATTTCACATTAATTCTGCTGTTCTACTTCTACTATTTCTGAAAAGCTGTTAAAAAATTGTCTACTGAAAGTATGTTACAAATATCTAAGAAAATGACGTTTCTGGGACCTCTTACAATTTTTAATTGATTTGTTACATACCAGTTTATTGGCATAAATTCTTCCATTAGTATCTTCATGTTCCAATTCCTTCTCCTTTGTCTCCATTTTAATTTATTATACTTAAATCATACCTGTTGAAACAATGATTCGTATTCACGGGATTTGTTAATGTTTAGTAATTAGTAATGATTATTACTATCATTAATATTCGGTGCCTACAGTTTTTCGCCCAGCTCGTTAGAAGCATCCTTGGAAAGAAAAATAACCGTCTGACTGCCACAACTACATCTGTCTATGAGTAATTTGTTTGTCTAATCCAGGGATGTTATCTCATCGTTCAGGTCAAACCTATATTGCAAAAAAAAACCATTAAAATTAATTAAGAAATTAAGATTTTTAAAGGCAGAATATTTTTGAATATTTGTCATTTATATATATATCCAAATATATAACGAGAAAAGATTCCTTGGCGGCGTGGTTACGTTAATATGAAAAATCAATATTCAAAATTTAAAAAGCCAGCAAAAAAATCATTATTCAAATTGAAATAAACTTATAATCCATTCAATTGCACAGTAGATAGTCGTAATATAATAATAGTATATGAAACCCACGCAACATAATAAAATCCATCTACGTCTAAAAATCTAAAAATATTCAAACGGTAATTAAAACTCATCAATTACTAAACGCGAACAAATTTCTCATACTTAAATCAAAATAGAATAATGAATTAAGACTAAATAAATACCTTAAGGCGTCGAAATGTTAATGGTGACTCTTCGAACATTGCAGTTCAAACTTGAAATCAGGCCAGGGCGGAAGTGTACAATAGACATGATAGAGAAGTCTATTGTCTATGATTGTCTTTTAGTTCGTCAGTTTCCCACTAGTACTGGTAAAAACAAATTATTAATTTAATTAATCATATTTAATCGTAGATTCCTGCCCATAAGACAACTAAAGCCTTTCATTATATAATTATAAAACAATAATACGGACTTTAAAAGTCAAAAACAAAAAATAAAACAATTTACATTTTCAAACCTGCAGTTGGGAGCCGAATATCTGTAACTAATAAAAATTGTGGACCCACAATAATCAAAAACATACAAACCACAGAAATGATTATCTTTTTTCTCCTCTGTGAAGGTTTTTGAGACATACACTAGATTTCCCCAAGATGGCGCGGTTAATATCAGCGATAGATTTGTCTATGGTGATAGATTATCTATGTGATATCTTCATGAGATGTTAATGATGGATTATTGTTTTTTATACCTTTTGTGTATCTATTATCTATGGTCTTTCATTTATGATTGTTGTCCTAACCTTTGTTTATATTTTTAACATTAATTATGGAGTTATGGATAAAATAATTTGAAAATAATCATATTTTGTTTGGTAGATCAACATAAATAAGCGAAATGTAATAATAGGTTAGATTAAGTGGAAGAATTAATAAATTTAAAAATGAATAAAAAGCATATTGCTGGAAAAGAGCACATGCAGCGAATTAATTACCTTTATCAGGTATACTTAATTAATAAGCAACTTAATTTATGCATATTATACCATTACTTTTTAAGGCAAGTAATCTAATGATAAAGAAGAATTTACTATCAACCCATTATTGTAACCTTGCCCTTAATGTTGCCAAAAAGACTGTACAACGACTGTAAGTTAATATCTGGCATTTACTGACATTGAATAAATTGAGTATTATATACTTCTTCATTTATAGCGATATTTCAATTAAGAGGACTATTTGTAAAGGGTGTCACAATTTACTTATTTGTGGGGTTAATGCTAAAGCAAGAATACGAAAAAAACATTTGCAAATAGTCTGTTTTCAGTGTAATACAGGGAAGAAGTATAATTTAAAAAACTACCAACCAATATGGACTGAAACTCTAGAGGCACAGGTAGAACAGATCAACTACTAATAATTTGCTACATAAAAGTACCCAAAGGACTGTAAATAATAATGACCTTTTTCTTAGAAGTACATTAATTTGTGAAATTTTAATTTAAAAAAAGTTATTTACAATCAATATATAATATAATTTAATTAAAGTAAAACTTAAATTACATATTATATTAAACCCAAACCTGTGCTAAATAAAAACCTGTTCACTAGCTAAACGGTCAATAAATGGACTAACAATTTCCTTGGTAGCAAAGTAAAAGATTAATCCAAACGTTATTGAGATGGGCAATGCAGGTAGTGCCTNCCCTGGTTAAAAAAAAAAAAAAACATTAAAAAAGTCACCTCCCTCCTTCACTTAAGAAATATATTATTTTTAAAAGTAATTTTTCCCTTTTTAACAAGACTGTGGATCGGCTTTTGCACTTATTCAGTTTTAGCACGTTTTAATCTCCCAAAAAAACATACAAAATATAAAAAAATACTTACTATAAGAATTGCCACAAAGCATGCAAGTGTTGTGTTCCAATCTCCATATGAAGATGCCTTTCCAACCAGAACGCTATAAAATATGAAGTCCCCCAAACCAAGCTTGACGCCTCCTTTAAAGAAAAAAAAAAGGACAATTTTAACTTTAAATAAATTTACGTTAAATTGCAAACTGACGCTCTTCTTCTTCCTCCTGTGATCGTAAGGTAGTACGTGGTGGTCCATGGGCAACTTCTCTCACTTCCAACTGTCTTTGGGCTACACGCTGTTCGTGGGTGCGCACCCATTCATTGGTAAAACCATGTTCTTCACTCCCACTAATTGGTCTGCTATGACCCTGTTCATCGTCTTCGTCTCTCACTGCCATGTACATGTATGTGGCTGTAAATACAAATAAAACGTACATTTTAAAAACAATTTTTTTTTGATTTGCAGTTATTACATGAATAAATGAGGGCAGGAAAAATTTGCTCATTCCTTTCTTGGGCAGTTTCCACCAGAATTCGAAGAGGTCCTCGAGGCATAAGTACAGCAATAAGATCTGTAAGAAATGACTTAATCAATTTCTTAGAAAAAGTGTTTTAAGCTAAACATGTAAAATCTAAAATGAAATGAAATGAAAATAAATATCAAAAATTTGGAAAAAATGTAAGCGCATTTCCAAACACAAAGGAATTTTTACCCCAAACGGATATAACAGCCAATACAGCCCATGTTGTCCATTCAGGCATATATTTAATAAATACAAGTGCCATAAGAGCGGCGACGAATATAAGGTATGCTTGTTGTAAAATAAGAGGACCTTTCCAGTGAATACACACCATACCAACAGCACCAAAGTTCCACATCAGCAGAAGTAATGTTGGATAGTCCATAGCAACGTTGTAAGCACGCAGAACTTCTCTTTAAAATAAATAAGTTAGACATTTATTTTTGAACAACAAAATAATTATTACTAATAACTTACTCTAGATACAAATATGAAAAAATTGAAAGAAGCATAAGGGAAGACACAATCAACCAACCATGTATAGTCTGAAAAGAAAAACAGGCTATTGAAACTGTAAATTGCAATAAAATATTCGTTAATTTGCCTTGTAGCATCTATGCTTATACAGGACAATCAAAAGAATTGTCATTACGATGATCACAGCCATTAATATCAATGAATTAGCTAGAGCATTCCAAAATTTGGTACTTGCATACTGACTCTCTTCATGGAATGGAGTGTATACTCTGTAATTAAAAAAAGCAGTTATTATAAATCCAAAAGGCAGATAATTATAAAAGACACTTACAAATAGACGTCCTTGGTGGAGTAAAAACTAACTGAACTAATTGTAGCTACAACCACCAACATACATAATGAAACAGGAACAAATAACTTAATAACATGCTTTGCCCCATATTTCAATTCTTCCTCATCGTCCCTCCATTCCTGATTGTTACTTCCATCTTCACCTTGCATATTAGCATTACTGACACCTGCTCCTTCCTGAATTAAAAGAATAAAAAACAAAACGAAAATTCGTAAATTAAAGTTACTAATGCTCTCAGACGTATCTACGCATGTAAAACATTAAATACTCACGTTTTTATCAGCACCAGAAGGGCAAGCATTCCGTGATCTTTTCTTAGAAGCAATATCACGAACGTTGTCCCTTATTTCACCAGTACTTCCTGTTGCAACGTGCCCGTCCATTAGTCTAGTGTTTTCAGATGAAAAATCCAAATCAGTGTCGCTATCACTCATTAAAATTTTTCTTCACAAACTAATATTAACCGAACAATTTATATCAAAATCACTATTTTATCATCTTAAATTAGCAAATGACAGTTACGATACAGTAGTTCGAGTATCTTCAACCGGATTATTGGAGCGAAAATTTTAACTACACTGGAACTACCAAACTTGTTTCATTTCGTTTATTTTTACTTATCATAATTTTAGGTTAAAATATGGTTATTTCATATCAATTTCTCTGATTAATTTTAAAAATGAGTAAAAATCTCATAAGTAAACTACAAATATATCTTATTTGTCATTATTTTTAACGTTCATTTACTCTCTGCCTATGTATAAGGCAAATAGTAAATAGGTAATAAGTAAATTAAGGAAAAAATCTTCACTTACCAAGCAAAAGTATTTTTCATAAGAGATTACTCACACACCAGTATTTCTACGTTTACAATCTTCAAAATGGACTTCTCTTGGACAAAAGATTATCCTGAAATATTAAAAGTATGTACGTTATTCGATCTGCAAGAATTAAGTGCCCCCTTTAACTACAAATATAGTCCCATAAAAGGAATTTTACAAAATGGTCCACAGTGTGGACTTGTAGCATTGGCAATGTGTTCAGGCACTCCCTCAAAGGAATTAGTTGATGAACTGTTAATTCAAGCAAGGAGTTTATGCTACAGCTACAACGGAGAGATATTTAGTGCAAAATATTTATATGAACTTGCAAAGATCAACCTTAGGAACGTGTCTATCGAATTATATGACGGACCACTCAATACAAATGTCGTAAAAGACTTTTTACTAGATGGAGGATTGATTTTAGTCCCGTATCCTTTCTAAATAACAGTTTTAATTATATGAAAGACTACTATTTTCTTACTTAACAAAATTAAGTAGATATGACTGTGATAAAAACCACACACCTGCTACTAAAAATGGTCACAAAGCACATTGGGCTGTGTTAATTGGCATCGTAGAGTCAAATAATGGAAGAGTATATGTCTTGGCTAGACATGGGAAGTCTCAAAACGTTGCTGTATGGGATCTAGAAGAACTTGCATTAAGCAATTCTCAACTTAACGAATACCCAAGGGAAGAAGGAAAGGAATTCCGGGTACCAGAAACTGGTTTAGGCTCTCCTGAAGGAATAAAAAATAAAGCAATATTGATTAAACATAATAATTATTAATGTATATTACATTTTATTGTATTAAATATAAAAACTTATTTTAAATACAATAGTTTTTAATATAAGTTACATTTATAGTAATTAAAAAAATCCAAAACTCAAGAAAAAAACGGATGACACATTGCAGGGCTGGAAATGTTTTTTATAAGTCCAATTTAAAATGCGATTTTATCATCGAAAATGGCAGTTTTTTTTTTAAAATCTTAAATCAAATTTAAACGTCTTCTCAGAGCCCGAGTAAATTTATAAGTCCGATTTAAAATCTGTTTACATCATCGAAAAGGGCAATCTTCTATTCAGGAAATGCCTTTTCACAGTTCTAAATTATGTCTACATACCTGCCGAAAATTGAAGCTTTCCAGATTTACATTAAAAGCATTTTATAGGGCCTTTAATATCTTCTATTATAAGTACGATTTAAAATCTGTTTTCATCATCGAAAAGGGCAATATTTTGTACATTGAATTAAATTGAATTGAAAGTCCCAAATTATAATTACCTGTTTACCCAAAATGTCTGCGAAAATTGAAGGTTTTCAGATTTGCAGAAAAAACATGACACTATACAGGGTCGTATATCTCTTTTAGTATAAGTCCGATTTAAAATATATTTTTATCATCAAAAAGGACAATCTTCTATACACGAGATGCCTTTTTGAAAGTTCTAAATTATGATTACATGTCTGCCCAAAATGTCCGCGAAAATTGAAACTTTTCAGACAATCCTAAATGAATGTCTGCTAAAAAAACCCCGCGGTTTGATTTTTCTCGATTTTTCAAAAACAAGTGGTACTTTACAGGATTGTATCCTATATAAAAATAGTCAATTTTAAAATATATTTAAAGTTGCCTTCATACTCGAAAAAAGCCAACATTTTTGCATAATGTTAATATTAAATGAATATTGAGTTTTTAGTTTTTTCTAATTAAAAGTCCTAGACGGCCCGTTATCATTAATGTCATTGAGTGAAATTGTCACAAGAAAGCTCATCTTTATTAGCAACAAAAAAAAAGGCAGAACTGCAATAGTCGCAAACATTTTACGTGTTTCTTTCGATAGAAACTAATTTTAAACAGAACTAGAACGTTAAATAATTAAATATCATGGATTCAACTCAAGCTACGACAGTTACGACCTTATTCAACACAGCAGAGACGGGGAAAATCGCAACAGAACCTGAACCAGCTTTTACTAGATACCGGGTGTTCTTTAACCACGTTGACTCCTTCAATGTAAAATATATTTCTGCGGTAATCCTGAGATTCCCTTTCAAATACTTTTTTTTAACATCTGAGGGAAAATAATTGACCCCTAACAGTTTCAAATGATTTTCTTTAATAAGATAATCATGAATCTATGAAGTTTAATTGAAATTAATCACCTTTTGGTAATCGAAAGCGAATAGGATAACTTTTTTCTAAAAATTTTTTAGTTTCTAACAGAAAAAATATTTGGGGCATCCAGAACGGCCGCAGGTGGCGGTGAAGAAATGCTAGAAGAAGAGGAAGAAAAATCTAGACCCGTTTACTTCGGTCCAGATATGGCGAAAAATTATGAAATAATAGGCACTTTGAGATACCAATTTCATAGACCGACCGAAGACATATCGAAAGTTATAAAAGAAACGGATGAAGATTTCTTCACACAAGTCTTTAATTGCGGATTTATTGTCTACGACATAACTGAAGACCCCAGTCAAATACAAGATGCTTTAGACATGTTAACAGGTAAAAAAAAATACTAATTCGGTTGGCGATTTCAAAAACTCCTTTTTAGCAATCGAAAAAGAAATAGAAAGCGTCAAAGATATTGGTCCAAAAACTTTCGAAAGATGGGACGAAACTCGAGTTTTTATCCTATTATCGACAGTTATGACATGGGGAAAAAGTAAACCCGTTGATCCTGTAAAAATTTTATCAATTATTTATATTTTGAATAAATATATGTAACGCATTTTATTTGATAAACTTAGGAAGATCCTACGGCCGCTTTTACAGAGGGGGATTACAGAAGGAGAAAACCTCATCCAAACTATCAGGCACATATTGACTGCGAAAAAGAAGTCATTTTGAAAGGGAAAAAGGTTAAAAGTTACAAATCATTTCTGAAACAACGAACTACACCAGTGGTGTTGTGCTAATTTTTTTTTCCGGAACGCGTATATGGCCGATCCTGGGTAAGCGGCCGCTCTGTGCGGTCTCATGTCCCAAATTTGACGACGACGACGGGGGGGGGATTTCCCCCAATGTTCGCCCGTCGCCAGGATCGGCCCTGTGTATAGCATAAAAATGAAAGGAAACGAAATAATTTAAATTTTTTTCCAATACGTCAGCCAATTCTCGTTATAAGAAATCATCTTTAGTTCCGGAACGCGTTCCTGTCCAAAAAGGAAGCACCGGAACGACGTTCCGGAGCGTTCCGGCTCGACAACACCACTGAACTGCACTATTACTGTAGTATTTATAAAAAGAACTAATTATTTTTTAATAATTCTGCAGTACAAAGATAAATTGAAGACGTACGTGATTGCGTCTGGCATTCCCTACGGACACGAAGAAGAAACTTTGGACTTTCTTTTTAAATTAGCTTGGCGTAACGAAAGTGAAATGCCTGTCTTTGGTAACGGAAAGAATTATGTGCCTCTCATACACGTAGAGGACTTGGCCAAGTAATTTTAACGTATACAAAAAAATCATTGCAACACAAATCTATTTTTCTTTTTTTTTTTTTCAAGAGTAATCCACGCAGTTTGTGAAAACACTCCCTCCAAGCCCCAGTATATACTAGCAGTCGAACAGTCGGCTAGTACCTTAAAACAAATCGTTGGGGCCCTAAGTAAAGTAATGGGAACAGGAAGGATAAAGGAAGTGCCCCAGGAAGAGGCATTTTTAATAAAAAACATTACTGTAAATAAAACAAATCATAATAATTCATTAACTTTAAAAGAGAGTTCAGAAAAGAGCTTTTCTTAGTAGAAAAATATTTCAGCAAGCGAAATTCGATAAAACTACCGTCAATTTAAATATGGAACCTGAATATATAACTGAAGAAGCAGAATTAGAATGGAAAAACGATATGAATTTATTCGAAAACATGAAGGCAATTGTCAACGAATTTCGCATAGCTAGAAATCTGGTACCAGTCAAGTTATTCGTTCATGGGCCTCCAGCCTCCGGGAAGACATCGGTATCTAAAGCGCTCTCCGGTTATTATGGATCTCATTACACTTCGGTCAAATCAGCGATAGATGAAACAATTGAAAATTTGGTAAGTGTATTCTTTTCCAATAAATATTAATCAATTCATTGTGATATTCGGCTTATTCAGAGGAACAAAATCGATCGGGAAAAGGAAAAGCAAAGGCTCAAAGAGGAAGCTGCGACGGGAGAGAACGCCGAGGAGGAAGAAGTCGGAGAAGAAGGCGAAGAGGAGGAAGAAGTAAACATTGACGATCTTATAGAAGAACTGAAAGGAATCGAGATTCCATTGGAAGAGAGCGAAAATGGCAAACTTCCTGACGAACAGGCCATGACGATAGTGAAGAAAATATTATCACAAAATTACACTCAAAATCAAGGATACGTCTTAGACGGATATCCTAAACTTACAGACCAAGTGGGTATACAATAAATAAAGTAGATCTTCTTATATATATGTACATACGTATAATAAAAACCTTGTTATCATAAAATTAGGCTAAACTTTTGTTCACTGGCGATGAAGAAGGAGAAGGAGGTGCTGATGAGGAAGAAGAGGAAGGAGAGGGCGGAGGGAGGGGAAAAATATTACCTGATTACGTCATCAATCTGACAGCTCCTGATGAATTCCTTTGTGAAAGGATCATGCTTCTACCTGAAAAACGTGTACAGGTGAAAAAGCTTTTCCACTTTCTATTCTGAAATAAAATTCCTTAAACTGTGAGGACGATCGATTGCGCCGAAACCCGTCTTAGATTTTTAATCCACACCACACGGTGCTGTAATTTATTTTTTTCCAAAAGGGCACCCATTATACCGAAGAGCATATGCTCCGGAGGCTTGATGAGTTCAGGGCTCGAAACACCGAGGACAATACAATATTAAATTTCTTCGACGAAAGAGAAATACCGATAATAACAATTGATATAACGAGCGAACAATATAGAGAAGCGGACGATATAGTGCGTACTGTTGTTAAAAAAGTTGGACCTCCACCATCCTTTGCTCCAACACCGGAAGAAGAATTTGAACTGATCGGTTTGCAACAAGAAAAGGAGAGACTGGAACGACTGGAAAAAGAACTAGCAGAAGAAGTAAGTTTTTACAACTACAGTCAAAACCGTTTATTACGACACCGTTTAGAACAACATACCGGTTATATTGACCAAAATCATAGGTCCCGGCTTAATTCTGTTATAATAAACACTGGATTTTACGACATATCTCTTTAAGAGACTACATTTAACTGATATTTTCGGAGAATTATATCTGTTAGAACGACCAGCTGTATTGTAAGCATTTGAATAGGTAACAGTATCCACATCTGGTACAGTAACAGGCCATTAAGATCGCAAAAATAAACAAAAACGTGTCCAGTTTAGGTTCTATTGTAATTCTCAGAATATCTTCTACTGAAGCTAAGGAGTTTAATGATACAGATAACTCTATTGCAATTTGTGCACCAGCTATGGACGATGATATTGTACAAGAAGTTCAAGAGGAAAATGACGAACAGGAAGAAACTGAAGAACAATTTACAGTACCAACTTTGAATGATGGTCTCAATGCTGTCAGTGTATTACGAAAAATTGTTTTTTATTCTAATGAACAGTTTCATATGCAGGGAAATTATGATGATACATTAATTAAAATTAAACGTGAACTACAAAGTCTGTACGCACGACAGAGGTGTTCCAAACAGACTAAAATTCCAGGTTTTATTAATATAGAAAAATGATAACTATATGTACGTAATGTCTTTTTATAATACGGTTTATGTAAAATAAATAAAATGTAGTTTTATTTTATATAGGAATATATTAATCACACATTCAATAATTAGGTATTAAGTACTTAATAACAACGTCACCGGCTATTACAACTATCGGTTTTTACGACCAAATATGAGTAGTCCCTTTGTTATAACAGATTTTGACTGTATTTAACTTACTAATCCTTTTCTCTGGGGGGGGGGGTGTTCATAAAATACGTAACGGTAATGAAAATGTACTAGAGCCTAAATAAATTCATATTTTAGCTCATGAAAAAGGACGCTATAGAATGTTACCAAAATAAAATGGAGCAATGGACAAGCATTCTCGAGCAATACCAACTGGAAGAAGAAAAAATTTTGGCTGCAGAGTGCGAACCGTTAAGGCACTACCTAATGAAATACGTATTTCCTACATTGAGCAAAGGTTTAATTGAAACGGCCATTATCAAACCCGAGGATCCGATAGATTTCCTGGCAGAATTCTTGTTCAAGGAAAATCCAGAAGGACGCATGTTCGATCCGTCGTATTCTAGAGATGGACAACAAAAATTGGAGACGTGCGTGTGTATTAAATGTTGCGAGGACGAGGACAGTGAAGATACGCCATGCTAACTTTACCAATTTATTTTTATTCTTCATTTGATTAAGTTAACTATATTACATTACATTTCAATTAAATATCTATCACAAAAACACGTAGTTGTCTTTATAGATCAGACTGGCTATAACCATCAGCACGAAGCTGCTATTTTTTTTTTGCTATGAGGAAGAATATAATACGTTGTTGGTTATTTTTTAATTAATATTATCAACCTAATAATTACTGAGGGATTCAATTATTATTATTATTATTAATACAAGTAATATGCTGTTGCACAATGGTCACAGATATTGAAGTTTTCTGCCGAAACTCAACAACATTTTATTATTGTTTGCTTTCCTAATGAAAAATTCTGTAGAAATATTCATTCTTAAAATAAAATTATTTTTCCGTTCGTTTGCTTATTTTTTTTTTTGTCGAGATTAAGTTTCAGCAGAAAAAAACATGCATTGGGAATATTAGTGTTCGATAATATTTTATTATTCAACAGCAATATAATCAATACTATAAGTAAATTGTGCAATAAATAAGCTATTACCAAATGCTATAAATGTATCGTCTACGCAGTATTTAAACTCGTCGCATAATAATCAATTTGATATGAAGTGCACACAATACGGTAATTATTACTTTTTTTTCAACACCCTTCTCTTAAAATTATACACTCAAGCACCAATGTGGAAAAATTACCTAATGTCTGCATTATAATAATAACTTTCTTGTGCCCTAAGTCGTACACTTGATCTCTTCTTTGCAATAACATTTGCATGCAGTATTGTAACAATCTTCACATATTAGGAATTAATATTATTTACAATCACTTGACTTTTCAACCATTAAAAAATGTAACCGTACCTATTTACAACCGTTAACGTTTTATCAGTTACCTAACGATCGGGAACAAATAAAAACATTTAGAACTTACACGCTATTAAATAACCAAATTTTTTTTAACTAACTCTACAATACTTAAAAAGCTTCCTCGTTAGTAGAATAAATAACAATGTTTAATACATATATTATATAAAATACAGAGTGCAAGTAGTAGACATTGATAAACATGATGACCGAAGCGATCGTTGCGGCCGACTATCGCGCCTCCAAGAAAAACAGCCTCTTTATATTGGCGAGTATTATAGGGTGGGGGTAAACGAAGAGGGAGGGGATGAGAATCTTCGTCCAATGAGAGAGTAGTAGTAGTAGTAGTGGTGGAGAATCGAAGAACAAAAAGACATCTATTCTCGTTTAGACTAATAGCACCCCCAACATCAAGAGGGCGGCGCTTAGGATTTGAGTAGTTTGTTGGCGCGCTGATTGGCCACAGCAATGCGTGTCTCGTTGCTTTCTCCCTGCGCAACAAACACATATACCATCTGATCGCTTGCGACTGCTGACAAGAAGTAATGTAGAGGTCGCAAGCGACAAGATCCAAGAACTGTGTGGTGCTGTACGGTGGTGGGGGGTTGGTGGAAGGGGCGTTTTGTGTCTACTTGAGCAGGTTGTGGGCGCGCTGGTTCGCCACTTCTATTCGCATCTTATTAGACTCACCCTGTATATATTCAACGATGCACATGCAGAAGAAGTTATTTGATGTGTACATTACGTAGCGTTATGTTCGAGTTTTGCAAAGTTGATGTAGTTGTAGATGTTGTTGTTGTTGTTGATGTAGTAGTTGAAAGTGTAAAGAGAATAGAAAAAACAGATTAGTTATTGAAACTATTACAGAAAACGGTAGACTAAGATCTACGTTGAAGGACCACGTCTTAGTTCAAAAATTTGAGTAAAATCTTTTTTAAAAGTTTTTGAAAAACGCCTCAACAACAGGGACGCACACAGAATTTAGGGTTGCGATGTTAAGTACGATTCATAAGGAACAAAACGTTAAAAGTTTTTGACAATACCCGGTTTGTAACCACCCCGTATAATGTGGTGTTGTTCTCAGTTAACGCACAAATTTTGTTCATTACATAAAAAATCATAAAAAGGTATCTGGTATTAAAACCATTATGGTGTTATGAAACAACACAAATTCTGGGGAAATTATTTTGGCCTCCACATCCTCCCACTATGTGCGCCGCTGTCTTGAAATCTTCTTCGTTTCGAATTTTGTTTTATTTCGATTTTAACTTGTTTGGATTCTTTAAATATTTCAATAATTGTCTTTACAATTAGCCGAAAAACTGCGAATGATTTCAATGCAGTTTTTACCTTGAGATTGATGCGATCGATTTGTCGATTTTGATTTTCGAGCTCAGAACCCATATCGATGGCCATATTTCTCAAGTTTCCGATCATGGTATTAACCTGTCCCATGTTCTCTTCCATCTCTTCCTCTCGGGCATCGTTGGTGATTCGACCGATGTATCCACCCTGCGGCCCCATGCCATTGCGGTCGTCCATCATACGCTGGGGTTGATTATTGACAACCTTACCGTCATCGTTACCTTTCCACGTGCCCTCGTCTTCTTTGAAGGACGAGCCCCTAAGGAAAAGCAGCCCTTTGTACGGACTTTTCTGTTCCTAGCTATTCTAATACATATAAGTAATATTTTTGATTCAATTACTTTTGACAAGGGAGCACGCACAGTCCGCAACACTTTTCCATTCCCGTTAAATTCTTTTCTGCCTCACGCATGTCCGTATTGATCTGATCCATTCCATCTTCGATCCGGTCCAATTGCTCTGAATTGGATTATAAAGTTACTTTCTTTTTTTTTTTGTTCTCTGCACCACATTATTTTAAGGGCTTTAAGTGCGACAAAATGAGACATGCCAGAAAAATATGTTAAAATGTTTAGAGAGAGTCAGTAAAATAAAATGTATCTTCCATGCACATGCTCTCGCCTCAATCAGGAAACAGTTTTACTCTTGCTTCGTTTACTTTTTTAGCGTTTTCATAATAATAAATAATACTACGGGCAACTACCCCGATAGCCACTCGTGATGATCATGAATGGATCAGACGATTTTGAAAACAAATTTGGATCAAATTTGAAACATATGTTCTACATTCAATTAATGTTGCACAATGGTCACAGATATTGAAGTTTTCTGCCGAAACTCAACAACATTTTATTATTGTTTGCTTTCCTAATGAAAAATTCTGTAGAAATATTCATTCTTAAAATAAAATTATTTTTCCGTTCGTTTGCTTATTTTTTTTTTTGTCGAGATTAAGTTTCAGCAGAAAAAAACATGCATTGGGAATATTAGTGTTCGATAATATTTTATTATTCAACAGCAATATAATCAATACTATAAGTAAATTGTGCAATAAATAAGCTATTACCAAATGCTATAAATGTATCGTCTACGCAGTATTTAAACTCGTCGCATAATAATCAATTTGATATGAAGTGCACACAATACGGTAATTATTACTTTTTTTTCAACACCCTTCTCTTAAAATTATACACTCAAGCACCAATGTGGAAAAATTACCTAATGTCTGCATTATAATAATAACTTTCTTGTGCCCTAAGTCGTACACTTGATCTCTTCTTTGCAATAACATTTGCATGCAGTATTGTAACAATCTTCACATATTAGGAATTAATATTATTTACAATCACTTGACTTTTCAACCATTAAAAAATGTAACCGTACCTATTTACAACCGTTAACGTTTTATCAGTTACCTAACGATCGGGAACAAATAAAAACATTTAGAACTTACACGCTATTAAATAACCAAATTTTTTTTAACTAACTCTACAATACTTAAAAAGCTTCCTCGTTAGTAGAATAAATAACAATGTTTAATACATATNAGAAGATGTTAAAATCATTGTCAAACATGGAGTAAGTTTTGTCAGAAGATTTGGGCAATTTTATATCACTTCAAAGAAAATGAACACAGAAAAACAGTGACAGTGAATATGATATACCAAAAATTAATATATAACCTTTATATATATACATAGATTTATATAAACATATTTTTTATAAATTAATCATTTTTATATTCTTTTTGTTAAAACCATAGGTATAATATGTTTCATATAATTTCATAATATACTTTAAAAATGTAAAAGGAATTTATATAAAACATTAATTCTACAATATTTTTTTTGTATATGTATGTAGCTACTGTATAACGTAATACTAATAAATACGAAAATAATTGATTAAAATATTTTAATTGTATACAGTTTGCTAATTTATTTCAAACAATATATAATGAATTGTATAAAATATTACATACAATTGTAAATACAATTCATTATAAATACTTTGAAATAAGCATTTTAGCAAAATGATGTGTACGATTAAAAAATATTAATTAATTATTTTCAAATATGTATATACCTTTCAATTTTTTTACCGTCAATTATTTACCATCATATCATGAGTTAAAATTTATCTAAATATGATGAGAAACATTGCTGCATGTAGTACAGTAAATCTTGCCCTCATATGTGCCTCATAGGTTTCTTCATTTCAATGTCTTAAATGGTATGTCTATTTTACGTAAATTACGAAAGTAATTCAATTTACGAAAAGTTGTCTTCGTGTTTAGTATTCGTTTGACTCATGAAATGCAGACAATATGTTACAAATTTTTACGTTCACAAGGTGAGCAACCTTTACACATGTCGTGATGATACGAATAGTAAATTTTTCGTAAATATGAAGTAAATGTGGCTATCGGGGTAGTTGTAGTTTCCTAAACTATTTCCTGCTACGTTTTCGTAGTTACGTGATATTTTTATTAACAAGAAGCTAGATGTTTTTAATCAGACATGCAATTTAAAGAACGAATTAAAAAAGAAAAAGAAACGAAAAGGCGTTCTAGTTCTGAGCTAAGGCATTTTTAATAAGTGGCATGGCAGCTACCGTAATATATATCAGTGACTAATTAATATTTTAATTAATATTTAACAAAAAAAAAAATAATAAACTTTTGGGGACTAAGTATCATAGTAATGTGAACCGTGTTAACTTACATCGAGTGTTAGTCCTTTTAATGTGTGTGGATCATGTCGACTTTGTTTACGGGGAAACTGATTAAAGTATAGTAAGTTATGCGGTGACGCCTTAAAGTATCGTCGATATTTACAAAAAAAATATACACTCAAACCTCCCGAACTCGAACTAAAAACCTTTTTTTTTACTGTTTTCCATCAAAATGTAAATGGTCGCCGTACTGAAAATTTAGGACACTAATAGGTCCGCTTAAGAAGTCAAGTCATCGAATATTTCTACGACCGACTTTTCCATCGAAAATTAATAAAAATTCTAATTACAATGCAAATATCGAGTTACAGAAGTTCAAGTGTATAAGTGACAAACATGAACGGGAATACTTATAGGCGTCGCTTTCTGCACCAGAGACAACCGCCAATTCAATACAACGGAAAATATTTACACAAAGCAATTTTTATTTAATCGCAGTAAAAAGGCTTAATGTTGTACCAAAAACACGGTGCTCATTTTGACTTTTACGCTTGTCGTATGATGCAGAAGGTTTTATTAGACAAATTATATGACAATTTACAAGGGTGGTAGTATCATGGTATTTCATTTAATATGGGTAGTGGGGATGATGTACGCCCGAGGTCATTATACAAATGAATATAATATATATAATATCGACTGATAAAAATATTGACACCGTTCGAGAGTAATCTGTGGGTAGGGCAAAGTGACTGATAAGGACAATGATTTAATAGATGCTTACCGCCCTGTTCGTCCAGCATGACCAGGGTTTTCATCCCCACCTCGTGGCTCTAAAAATATATCAACACGGTCAGCTGCTGGAGCCCGCGCAATTTAACCATGTTCAGCGTGTTTGTTATCATCAGCCTTTCTGATCATGGTCAAAATGAGCGTTCGGGTACCAAGGCCCTTTCCAACGTTTTTCGAAACATCTACAGGCTATTAGTTACTACAAAAACACCCTCGAGTTACAATGATCTCTGTTAATAAAAAACCACCATCAGCAACACCGCTGCGAATACGTTACGGGGCTCAAACTGGCAGATGAAAATTAATCAAGTCAACAGCAACAGATTAGTTAAATAACCATATAAACCAATTAATAAATTAATTATGTAGTTATTAAAGGTTTTACACGAGCTTACCGCCTTGATGTTCGAGCATCTCGAGAGTTTTAGACCCCGCGTCGGTGCTCTATAAACAGGGACATAGAACAAAATCTCCTTCGAGCTAGTTTGGTAGGTAGTACAACACACTTTCGATCTCAAAAATATCGTTTCGCTTTTCTTTTTATTGATGTCAAACAATCGTTGCCTCGAGCAGAAGACGAAAAGTGCAAGCAGCAATTCAATAATAATAATAATAATAATAACAGTTTAACAAAGTCAATTACTAGAGATTGGCAGGAAGGAAGGAAACAAATCGAAATTAATCTATAAGCAGCGCAAATTTAAGCTCTTTGTAACATGTATAACAACAAGACAACGGGCCGAACACCGCCACCAGCTCTCACCCTGTACAACTGTACATTGAACTTGCGAAAAAGGATTGAAAATCAATGTTTTCCGGTCATGTAAAATTTAAAAGAGTCACTTAAACGCTATCGACTTTTCTAATATTCAATTCATATAATTCTGAAATGACAAAGCACGCCAAAAGCTAAGCTGGTGGCAGCCGACTCCAATAATAATGACTAAAATGCAACCACATCGAGAACTACCCAACATCAGCACAATGTCTAACTGTCCGTATAAGTATAAGTAGATAGTATTAAAAACATGTTCTCATCATGATAGGTATGTAAAAACAAGTGTGTAAATTGTTTTCGAAAAAAAAAAAAAAAAAAGAAAAAAGAGAAAAGTTGAACGTCTCGATAAAATCATAAAGACAGAACACAAAAAGGCTGGTAGCGAACAGGTGATTAGCGAAGTGCACATCGGAACGATGGGGTGATACAAGGAGGACATGATTATCAATTTAAAAGAAAAATAAACAAAGAGATGAAGTTTGTGGTAATGACGGCACTCACCTCCCTGGTCGTCGAGGGCGACCAAGGTTCGAATCCCGGCCTCCTTGCTCTATTTGCAGCACCAAACAATCAAGTGTATACATGTGACATTGTAGTATTTGGTAGACAACAAGTTCTTATTGTTCATCAACAAGTTAAGTTAGTTACTTGGTAATAATGTATAGTCAATATAACTATACCAGTATAATATATATAAAATTTATATCGAAGTTGTAGTCTTTTATTGATTTAATTTTCGTTTTTAACTGATAATATACATTATTAAGAGAAAGTTTATTTAGGCGAGGGCCAGTCTTGCACTGTCCGAGTGGAGATAATATTATATAAATATATGTCATGGTAGTGGTGTGTGCGAGTGTGTGAAAGGGGGTCGGACGCGATCTGGTGGTTTCGTCTGTGCGTGGACAATATATTGTACAAAAATCATATACGTATTAAATATTATCATACATAACAATAATAATAATAATAATAATAATAATGATGTTTGTTGNCGACTTGAATACACATACATACAAACATGTCCCATTATCGCGATGGGTTTGAGTATATGTAGGTACCTATAAAGGACACGAAACGGTACAACGGTAGGTTCAATATCGGCGATCAGACGCTTACGTTTGTGTTTTACGTGTGGATCTTGAAAAAGGGAGTTACTTCCTTCGAAAAATCGATAATTAATCTTTCTGCTTTTATTTACTAATCGTAACTCTACCCTATGTGTCGTACTGATAATTTCGTGAGAATTATTGATGCCTTCTCCTCTAGCTGCGAACATTTTAGGGGATTAATGATATTTTTGTACAAGATAGTCCGTCTAAAGAAGGTATTGTACACCGAAACAGCTGTTACAATAGAAGTTTTAATATTGCAAAAAAAAAAATTGTGAAGACTGATAAAATATGTAAAAGGTGATGACCAAATCAATTAACTATTTTATAAATGACTAAAAGTCCACTGTTAAAAAGCATGTTCCTAAAATCTCTTTTCCACCAATCTCTGTTCTCCTAATCTTCCTAATCGAAATATATATACACAATCCACAGAGATTTTGTTGCGCTTAGTGCATATGTGATTGCAGAATTTTGCTGTTAAATCAATATTTTAAAATATTCTAGTAAGATTATCTCGTAGATTCAGTTACCAGTCCATTTTTTTGCTGGTCCAAAAGTCCACTGCTGAGAAGTACGACTACATTTCCTTCTCCAAAAATCACTGGAGACCACCTAGAGAGCACACAAAATTCACAAGAATTTTCGTGCTCTCTATCAACAGCGGCCTAGAATTTCTACATTATATAGAATTTTAAAATATTCTAAGAATATTTTGGAGATTCAGTTGGCAGTCCTTATTTTGCTGGCCAAAAACACCATTGTTAAGTTCATTTCCTCTTCCAACAATCTTTACTCTCATAATGTTCCTAAAGGACTACTTATAAAAGTAGTCTCGCGAAATTTAGACATTTTCACCTCTTTCTCTTCGCTGCGTCACATTTTTGTTTAAACCCCTACATAATAATTCGTCCCAAAACCTGGATTCTCTCCAAATGAATGATTACTGTTTATAACATACAAAATTTATTCTAAACACCCAGAAATTAAAATAAATTAATAAATAGTAGTCAGTTCAGGTCGCTTCAGGTTTAGAATAGGTAATATTTCATTTTTGCAGCCACATGGACCAAAAGCGACCCCTACCTCTGTAGCTACCTAAGCATACGTGTATACCTGTATACAAAATGTGTGCTTACTGTTTTTGGTATTGTACCAGGTATTGATTATACCGATTCAGACAGAATAGCAGCATTATTATTAACAGTCGAAACGATAATAAATACACGCGTACGTGTTGTTTTTCCTCACAAAAGCTTACAATAATCCAATCGACATAATAATAGGCATTTAATTTATTCTTTCAACCATTTGTACATTGTACTACACCTATATGTCTGCATAGGTACCTATGACCGTATAAGTAAGTGCATACTTCTGCTGCCGTTGTGCACCGTTCGTAGTATACATTCGTTTCGGTCCAACGTTAACACTTATCGGTTAAAATGAAATAATGGCAATTGCGAGAGCGCACAATAATAGCAATAATAATAATAATAATAATAATGATGTTTGTTGGTACGTGAAGATATATAATAGTATAATAAGATACACTGCCACACTTGCAGCTCTACCGCTACCACAACATACAGCGACACTCTGCTGTCAGCACACAGTCGAAAGCTGCCTTTTCTCCCCGCTGTTTGCTCCCCATTTCGAGGCGTCCCAGTCTTCAATAAAGAACAAACGAAACAAAAGCCACACCGGGCTGAGACAATCTTGTTATTCAGCGAGTCATAAACCCTACAAAAACGCAAAGCCTTGTCTGAGTCTCACATTCCTGGAATTCCTTTTTCATATTTTGAACGAAATTTAGAGAGGTTTGTACGCTAGTGACTCGTGGAATATCCTGTTTACGATCGAAACACCAAGTCGGCGATAGTTCTGGTCAGAACTGCAGTAGAAACTCGCGATTCGCACGAGTTTGCGTTTTGTATGATTATGACTCGTGGAATGCGCTGTTTTGGTTCGAAAAAGTGACTCAAACACTAAGTAGGGGATAATTCTGGCGAGAATTNAAGTGTAACAAATACAATAAACAAATGATACAGTATTTCCTTGTTTTTAGTTATCTTTTGTTCACTTTTTTATTGGAAAAAAAAATAGCAATATAGTAAGTGTATCTAATAATAAATTATTGAAAACCTAAGACGCTTCGAGAGATTCGTGAGCAGGGAGGCAGAAAAAGTGCACAGACAGAAAGCATGCACATCACAGAGAAGAACCGACATTGACCTAAGTCGGCGACAAGCACAAGGCTACCGCCAATCGTCTCTGCTGAGGACTTTTGTTTTAAACATTTTGTTCAATTGTTTTTAATTTCTTTTTCTTTTTATTTAAACACAACAACGGTTACAACGAAAAATACTTCTCCAATCTTCGTATTATCTTTTGAAAAAATATAAAACTAAAAAAAATATGCTTTCGAAAAGTCTTTTCAAGTGTGATTTAAATTAAATCATATATATCAGGGCCCCGCATTAAGCACTAACCGTTATAGAACAGATACGTATATTATTAAAAAAAAATGCCAGATAATGTCTTCTCTACAAACCACGAGATAAAAAACGAAAATAAATACCACTGAGAAAATAATAGCGTAGGGTAGTATGTTGGTTTTTTAAAATTTTACATTCTGACTAATGATAGAAACACTTATCTATTAGTCATGCAGATTTGAAAAAGCACATTTTAAAAACGTCTTCTTGAGAATAACAGATAATTACCAGAAATTGTCTCTGCTTTCTCGGCTGTTCTGTCACAATTAATAATTTTAATAACCGAAGGAAACAAATCGAAATTAATCTATAAGCAGCNCAGAATTGCAGAAAAACTCGCGATTCGTATGAGTTTGCGTTTTGTATGATTATGACTCGTGTAAAGTCCTGTTTTTGGATCGAAAAAGTGACTCAAACACTAAGTAGGGGATAATTCTGGCCAGAATTGCAGAAAAACTCGCGATTCGTATGAGTTTGCGTTTTGTATGATTATGACTCGTGTAAAGTCCTGTTTTTGGATCGAAAAAGTGACTCAAACACTAAGTAGGGGATAATTCTGGCCAGAATTGCAGAAAAACTCGCGATTCGTATGAGTTTGCGTTTTGTATGATTATGACTCGTGTAAAGTCCTGTTTTTGGATCGAAAAAGTGACTCAAACACTAAGTAGGGGATAATTCTGGCCAGAATTGCAGAAAAACTCGCGATTCGTATGAGTTTGCGTTTTGTATGATTATGACTCGTGTAAAGTCCTGTTTTTGGATCGAAAAAGTGACTCAAACACTAAGTAGGGGATAATTCTGGCCAGAATTGCAGAAAAACTCGCGATTCGTATGAGTTTGCGTTTTGTATGATTATGACTCGTGTAAAGTCCTGTTTTTGGATCGAAAAAGTGACTCAAACACTAAGTAGGGGATAATTCTGGCCAGAATTGCAGAAAAACTCGCGATTCGTATGAGTTTGCGTTTTGTATGATTATGACTCGTGTAAAGTCCTGTTTTTGGATCGAAAAAGTGACTCAAACACTAAGTAGGGGATAATTCTGGCCAGAATTGCAGAAAAACTCGCGATTCGTATGAGTTTGCGTTTTGTATGATTATGACTCGTGTAAAGTCCTGTTTTTGGATCGAAAAAGTGACTCAAACACTAAGTAGGGGATAATTCTGGCCAGAATTGCAGAAAAACTCGCGATTCGTACGAGTTTGCGTTTTGTATGATTATGACTCGTGTAAAGTCCTGTTTTTGGATCGAAAAAGTGACTCAAACACTAAGTAGGAGATAATTCTGGCTAGAAATGCAGTAAAAACTCGCGATTCGTATGAGTTTGCGTTTTATATGATTATGACTCGTGGAATGTCTTGTTTTGGATCGAAAAAGTGACTCAAACACCAAGTAGGGGATAATTCTGCCCAGAATTGCAGAAATACTCGCGATTCATACGAGTTTGCGTTTTGTATGATTATGACTCGTGTAATGTCCTGTTTTGGGTCGAAAAAGTGACTCAAACACTAAATAGGGGATAATTACGGCCAGAACTCGCAATTCGTACGAATTTGCGTTAACTTGTGATTCGTTTTTGGGTATAAAAATATAAATACAGTTTCTGGGATCAAAATATACAATCTGAGGTAGTTCTGCTCAGAATAACCACACGTACTCGCACTTATTGTTAGTTTAAATTCGGCGGTAACATATTTTAATGCCACGAACTCGTATGAAGTCAATTCAATTCTCTACAACTTTTGTATTATAGTAAAACGATTTTCTTAGTAGTTTTTCCATAGAAAGAATAATCATTTTTAAAGGTTTTTGTAAACAATAATTAATTATTATAATTATATACCGGTTAATATTTACTGTAAAAATGGCCTGTGTCTCTATTCCCTGATCTACAGCAACACCGCTGCGAATACGTT